CAGTCATTCTCCTCAAGACCCAGTAAGTCGTCCCATGACTCCAATGCTCGTTTCTGCTCGTTCAAGACTATTGCTCACGCTGCACACAGAGCGTTAGTGAATTCTCTGTCTCTTCTCCCCAATGTCTGCACCAAACCAAGGTCGTCAGTCACCAGACCCCGAACGCCAGACTGGTGCTCAACAGCAAGATCATCCCTCCCAGCCGGGTAGTGGAAAGGTACGCTCCCCTGCCTCTGCTGTTGGGCGGCCAAGCCTAGGCTACATCATCATTCCGGAAGACAAAACCATGCCATCTTGATAGCATTACTAACTGTGTGGACCAGCTCGACAACTCCCAGGCCAAGAATGAAGGCAAGGACGACCAAACGGCCAACCTCGCGAGCAACCCGAAGCACGTCCTTCACGATCATGCCGAAACAAAGACAGCCAAGGGCACAGGAGCATCGAGCTAGATATGGAGAGGGTGTTGAAGAGTTTGCCGACTCTAGAACGCGTGGGTGGTCAGATATCGCCAGTGGGCTGTGACGCTGCCTAGAGAGTGAATTTGAGCATGAAATTAACCTACCATCAAAAGTCTCTCCATCAGTCTTCCCAGTTTATGAAAACTTGTATCTGACACTCTGATAACTCTGCTCCAAAAAGAGATGTCGTCTTCAAGGCCTTCACTCAAACCACCAACACTGGCCGATCTCGACCAGCCCACTGCTGTCGATGGTCGCGTGGCCCAGCAAGCGAACCCCAGGTCAATCACTGATGACTCCTTAGCGAATGGACTGGGTAGAGGCTCTTGATATTCGTTGGTTTCTTCCATCGCGGCTGAACAATCCCCAAGGAATCGACAGTAGCTTTCTTTATCCCCTCACCCTAGATCTTTGATTGTCGAACCAACACGTTGTCTCATTGCGTGAGAATATTGCTCGACATCCCAAGCCAGAAACAAAGAGCTTCCGGGCGGTGTAAAGAGGCTTCCATTGCAAGCGACCGAAGGAATAGCCAGACGGCATGGAGGAACGATGATTACAGTTCCTCAAGCTGCGCGAAACCGTCACCGCGGTTTGCGCGGTCCTCGATGTGGTACTGAGTGTATGATGACGTCACCGCCTTGGCTGCTTCGGTTCGGCCCGCTTTTAGCGCATCCAATCGCGAAAATGGCAAGTTGACACGGGTAACGCGGACTAGTAAGATCGGTGTACAACTGCGCCCCCAAAGTTCACTCCAAGATCTTATCCCATTGACCGGTTTACATTGCTTTGATGAGCGCGGGCGGACCTCAACCATGTTGCGTCATGTATCTGTGTATTTGAATGCGCTCTTTGTGTTTTATTTATCCCTGTCCGCTTCGGTAAGCGCCGCCGACGAGACGACGTTGCTGAACCGAGCCCCCAATCGCAGAGGCTACTCCAAGGGGGAGCTGATACCCGTCAGCTGCCTGAACAGAACCATGTGAGTGTTGATCCATGGGCTAGTTGTACTGCTACTTACGACTCCAGCGATACTGGCGAGCATGTGAGTTGTATTGACCACGAAAAAGATGGGTGCTACGATTCCTCGAGCGGCAACCGTGGCTTCTATCATCCCGTCCATGGATACTTATGGGGAGATGCAACTAGATCACTGATGACCATGGGAATCTACAATATATACCGTTTCCTACGTGCAACGAAACTGGTCAACCCTTGTCATTCAAGTACAACGAGCCCCAAACGCAGACCTGCACGATCGATTCCTTGCCTGACGAACTCTATCACCTACTCGAGTTCTTTGTCCACAGCGATGTACCACTGACCTGTCGCGTCCCTTCCTTTCCCTTGACGCAAGAAGACCTTGGAATTACACCGTCGCTCCCTGAGTCCAGCGGAATGGGACCGGACAACGGCCTCTGGACTCCCTTTACGATTGCGTTACAGGGAACTCTACAACTAAGTCATCTACATCTACACACGAACATCAATGCCCTCTTCCACATGTCCCAGGACCCGGATTCAGCAAAAGCTTCCTCGCAGCAGTCATACCTGATTGCTTCAACAGCATATTCCCTCCCTAATACTTCATCCTCCGCACCTAGTGAGGGTGCCAAAATTGTGCGCAACGAGCCATTGGCCCTGACTTTCAATGTCGGCTGGATAGACGGAGCAGTCTTACCTGGCATGATTGGGCGGCCTGTCCTCAAAGTCACGGATCACAGCATAGGGTTTTCATTGCTGAGCTTCTTCGCTTTGGCTGCCAGTGCTGGCGTGGGGGCGATGGCAATGCTCGTTTACGAAAGGAGGAAGAGTGGGAGAAGTGGGATATATAGTAACGGGATCCTCGGTGGCAACGTCGGAAATGGCATGGCCAGAAGCTCTGGCTACGGAGGGTACGGCGGATACACCAGCAATTTGGGCAAGAGGGATTGACCTTCTGTCCATCTGTCAAACACGGTTGGGGGAATTTCCGGAAGCCTCTGACCGACCCTCAACTGCCCTAGACGTCCGCAGAATCTGTTGCAGAAATGATTCGGGGAAAGCGACTCGTCACACGAGCACAGACGGATCTCTGGTTCTGACCTCCGTGAACCAACCTGCGAATTGGCCACAATGTTTCTGGATACACAATCTTCGGAATTCGACAAATCGGTCAACAAGGTGTCTTACTTCATCGCCGGACAAACAAGCACTTATCCATGGCAGAAAATGTTACGCATCCATTTTCATCAGACGCAGATACAGATGCAGATGCGGAAGCGCCGCATCATGGCCAGTCGTTCCTATGTCAAGGATAGCCAATGACATGTTCGATGATATCAGTCGCCTGCGCGAAGCACAGTCTGACAACCAGGGACATGGCTCAAATCGGGGTTCTGATGGGAGGATGGTCACTCTGTGGTATCCACTGTTCGAGTTGATCATGGGAGCTGACGTTCTCAGCTTCGCATGTTCTACTAAGGGCCCAAACAGATCAAGGGCCCAGTTGCCTCAGATGTCTCATGAATATTACGGTTCTAGATAAGGTGAAAGGGCGAGCCGGCCTGAAGAAAAGTGGCACATTCTGGCACAGCGGCTTCAACCGCGAAGTCCGTGGTAGCTGTTATTAGGATAGAGACAGCTTCACTGCCAGTAAAGGATGTCATTTCTTTGCCAGTAGTTCCGTCCCAGCACCCTCCCATTGTTAAGCACAGTGGCAGACTGTCATCCATTTTTGTCTTCACCTGGGAGCACATGTATGCCAGCCTCAAGTGCCGCTCGAGCAAGGCCGGGCACATTCTCTCTCTTCCCTAGCCCACCAGAATGATCAGGCTGAAGGGATACAACCAACCAACGACGCCTCTTCCCATCACCGTGAGACTTGGATGCCAAAATAGACACGGCAGTCGTAAGGCTGGCCACCAATGTTTGTGGATTCTGGCGGGCGGCCCAATTCACCCAAATCCCAGGGATTCCATCATCCGCACCAATTCCGGCCCCCTCGAAATATCTTCGCTTCTTACACACCCACGAACCGAAAACACTCAGATTGTGGTCATCACCTGTTGGCTGCGCCTCTCGCCGTCTCGTGCCGCCAGTCAGATACGAGCGCGCTTATCGACAGACTGTCATACGTGTGTCCGCTTTACCCTTCATCTGGATGCAAGCGAAACGACCTAGCGAGCCGCCTCCGCCCCAATTCCTTCCTTCTAAGCCTAGCAGCCCAACAGCCCTTCTCCCTCGCAACCCTCGCAACTGTGGGATATCAAAAAATCAGCCACTCTCGAACAGACGCCCTGGGTTACGAGATGGCCGGAAAGGTAGATATAACTACCCAAGGGGGCTCCCAGGTAAGTGTGTTGTGTTCGTCGGCGCAGCAGCACCATCGTCTTCATCGCCAGCTTCAACAAACAGACCATCCACATCCGAAAACCCATCAACCAAACCCAACTCCAATCCACCTCTATCTACATATATATTACATACCAAACTCGCTGTTGCAATGGTTTCCTTCACAACAGCACTCCTGTCCCTGCTTCCCCTCGCCGCCTCCCTCGCCGGCGCCACTCCCATCGAGAAGCGCCAAACGTCCACGACAGTATCGGCGACATTCATCGGGGCGGCAGACGCCCAATACACCTTGCAAATCCCCGCGAACAGCGAGTGGTTCCCCACCGACAACCCGCTGAGCATTTCGCACATCCAGACCTCGGCGGGCGCGTCCTGTGCCTTCTTTGGCGTGGACGGAGCCGTGGTCGTCTTGCCGGCCGCGGGCGGCTATGTCGACGTTGGGCCGCCGCAGACCATCGCTGGTGGCGTTTGCGGGCCCTTCCCAGGACAGAACTATGGCATGTGGTGATGTCCTCGTCTTCTCCTTCTCGATATGGTGGAACCTTGTTGGATCAGCCATCCTATGGGAGGAATTTCTTTGGGCTGAAAGTTGTTGTTTTTTCTTTCTTTTGCTTCTTCTGTCACCTGTCTTAATATGTGGATAGATACTGCGGTGTGCCTGGACTGGGCGCCTCTGGTACACCCCGGCATAACCCAGGCGTTTTACGAATCATGTACACCCTCATGCACGGTGTCGGTCAACAGAGGAAGAATCCAAAATAATGAGAATTAGATGTCAATAAAGAAAGAAGGAAGAGATGTTCTTATCATGTTGTCACTTCTTCCCATGGTTTCGTTTCGTGCACGCAAGCTGAATATGTCAGAAGAAATCCTGGCTGATATCTGGCGTTCTGGGGGAAATGAACAAGTCCCCTGCAGATATGCAACCTCTATTCAGAGTCCAATGTTCGGTTCTGCCCTTGATCGCCTTGGAGCTTCATCATCTGTCCTCAGCTCTGAAAGCCACAAGCCACAAGCCTGCTGCTACCCCGTTTCGAGTCACATTCCCTGCTCAAGCACGAAAAAATCGACCCACGCACCTGAAAAGACTAATAAAAGTGTGGAGGCCGTCCATGAGGGGAGGCCGTACCAATTAGGCAGAGCACATTCCGTGCGCTGCAACCTCTCGTCCATCCTCTGCTGCTTGGCTATAAGTGCGACGTGCTCCTAGTCAGCCTGCATCCGCAGCTGGTCGGCGATTTGACAATGCCTTTGTCGTCTGGAATCCTGGGCCGCGACAGCGGCTGCTTTTGGAGCTGGGAATGGCAGCTCTTTTTCATCGGGTGAAAATGGTCGGGTCTTATTGGGATTATGGTTGGGATTCGGCCTGGCGATGTGACCGGTCGAAATGCGGGTCGGGACTGATTGCGGTGCATTCCCGCTGCCATCTTTTCGAGCCCCAGCTCGCGCCGGAGTCGATTTCAACTGGCGTGACCGGACTTTCATCTCAGGACGAAGTCGCTCATCGGACCGTCTCAATGGGGCTGGATTCGACGGGCCCAGCCTGGATGAGGTTTGACTCGACGGCGGGGTTTGGCTTTCTAACACTAGAGTATCAGAGTTCCTTTCTCGTGTCATCTGTGATGCATCCTCTGGGTCGGGCCTTGCGGACACTCGCATCCCAATTGGCGTAGTGGCGCCCTCGCCGAAATCAGGGGAAGAGACTGACTTCAGATCGCTGTTCTCGGTCGACGCTGACGACACATCTGTGTGTTTCGACTGAGAAACCTCGAACATTTGCACTTCCCCATTCCTTCCCTTCTCACACACGACCCAATTTGCTTTTAGTGGCGCCTCTCGTTTAAAGGCCTGCCGTGAATCGAGGCCCTCGTCGTGGGGAACCATGTCCCAGTCTGGATCTTGGGGCACCACTTCCCATTCTCCGTAAGTACTGGCACCAACATTCTCGACTCCTGCGCCAGGCTCATCTTCCACGTCGAATGTTTCGTCGCCGACCTGTGACGGCAGGTGTGGAGGACCACCATGGATATCTATCTGGTCGGAATCAGAAGGGTATGGCCGGTCATCTTCTTCGGCATTATAAAGATTCATGTCGAGGCCGGACATCTTTTTTGCCGAGTTCATGACTGGGCCCGAGATCCAGTCGGGAAGGAAGACGGTGTCTGTGTGCTTGAGTTCGAATCGCCCGTGGCGGTGTGTCGTTGACGAGGAGAAGATGCGGTATCCAGGTATGATTCTGCTGAGCTTGCGCAGGCAGTCTGGTCAATCTTCTGGAGTATTGCCTTGAAAAGTTGTTTTGAACACGAGTAAGTTCTTTGGCCCCTTATACTAGATATAAGGGGAGAAAACCCAAGACAGGTGAGCAGAGACGCTCTTAAAAGTCGCCGCCTGCGTTTGTATCGACTCCGCCGCCAGCACAAAACATTCAGGTTCAAACGGGAGACTAAGAAATATCACCATTTCCGTGATTTTTCCATTCGTTTGCCGGAGCAAATTTCTCATTGACTGGGATTTTCCTCTCTCTCATCTGGTCACGGCTGCACTGTCCTCGGTTTACGTGGCAGGTGTCAGTCAATCGTAGTGAACATAAGCAGCATTTTGAAGCTTGGAAGAATTTGAAAGATGTGGTCTAAAGCATCTACCGATCCTGGCCAGCTATTTTGCAAACAGAAACTTGCAACCGACTACAGCAGCACATTGAAGAATTTCTCTCCGTTTCCCATTCAGGCAGCGTTTGCGTTCCCACTTCATCCTGAGAGGCCCGCGGCGATGCTCGAGAGATTGACCTACAGCACGTTCCTGGGCAGCATATTCGATGATTTCCCGTGAAGCTGGAGCTGACGCCCCTTACCTGTGGTTAATGAAGATACACTCTTCGCTACAGCGGCCCTGTTCTACTCCAGCTCTAGGCTCTCCGAAGAGACGCAGTATGGTAATGTGGAGAGCATCTGGACGTTGCGTGTGTGCTCGTCATCCTATTCCTGGCAATCGATGTGGTCGCCAATGTCAGGATCACCACTCTCATCATCTTTTCCATTGGCATCGGAAACACTGAAGCTCCGACTCCTGTCCGTGTTGCCATCGTCGAACTTCGGACCTGCTCTCGGAGGTTTTGCTCAGCAAGCCGTGTCTCCTTGTCACGAAGGTGGATAAACGTGGCCGGCGATGGTATAGTTTGTGGTTGTGTCTCTGGCCGCGCTGTTGGTGGCTCCTGACGGTTGATCACAGACAGGGAGCCAACTTCGTTTAAGCTGCAGACCATCCAGTCATCTTCCCGTGGAATTGTCGGCTTTGGCGCGATCTGTGCCTCGATCTATTCGAAGACAGAGATGACCTGCCAGTCGTCGTCGTCGTCGGCGTCGTCGGCGTCATATGGACACCTGCCACGTAAGACCTCGACCTCGACGAAACTGTTGTCATTGGCCGATCGCGGGATTGCTTCTGGTGGTCTTTGGATGCCTCTCCAAGACGGTCGAGAGCACTGTTTATTATGCCCCTGATCAGACCAAGCACCGATTCGGTCGCAGAGGACAGTATGGCAACTTGTTCGCCCAGCTGCCGAAAGACGTCATGCATTGTTATCTGCCACCTGCTGCAGTTGATGCTACTAATGCTACTATGCCGGAGTTCATTCACGTTTCTGAACGTGACTGATCGGTTGCTGTAGCAATTCTGGGAGTCAAGGTATGCCGCCAAGTGTTGAGTTTCGAAATATGGCAGTGTGAGATAGCCAGGAAGACTTCTCTCTCTCTAGACCTAGAGGAATATCTCTGTTCGCATACGCATGCCCCGTCCTGTCCACCTTCTCATGTCCGTCATTCTAGCTAACCGTCGGGGTTTGTATTTCTCGCAAACGAATGGTGAAACACCACCATAGAGAGCATGTCACAGGCAGGTGTCATGGGTCTGTGGCAAAGTGATGAATTCAACTTCACCTGCCGCGGCCGTCGCCACCTTTTGGCCCGCTGCGAAACCCCGAACGCATTAAGACTCATCTCACCGAGAAAGCTGCCCCTCGCATCCTGGCGCCAGCCGTGGTCTTGGTCTCTGCTTCGGTGACAGACAGTTCTTTTCGTCGATAGGACTTTCTTCTCGGGGAGCGGCTAGGAGCCCTTCTCTACCCTGGGCCTGGATCTGTAACAGGATCTCCTCCTCATCCTCGTGTCCTCGTCCTCGTAGGGGGCACGTAAGTCTGCGTGCACGTCCGCGTCCGCAGAACTCTCCGTGTGCGGCAGTTCGCATATCATTTCTTGACACTTGACAATCTCCCACCCACGGCCGCCATCGATGCCACCATACCTAGCACCGCCGAGGTAATCATCGTCATCGTCGTCATCATTAGATACAATAAACCAATCACCATCTTCCTCGTCGTCCACCCCGTCGTCGTCAAGGCCATGACTACACATCGCAAACCCATCGATGCGGAGTCGCGACACGTCGACGATACGAGGAGATGCTTCCAGTCTAGGCTTTGCGAGCCGAAAAGCTAGAAATCGACGTAGCATTATGAGCTTTTTGGTATCGGCAGCTGCAATAGATGGTTCGCAGAATTTGGTGGGGAAAGCGTAAGTGCTGAGTAAAGATAGTGTCAGTCGACGCCGGATAGATCGACGTAGTGTCGCCGTGACTGATATTTCAAGGAATACGTATATATGTATGTATAAATGTAAGTAAGCAGATAAGTAAGTAAACAAGTAAGCACGTTGTTCCCGTGTACAATACTTCATAGCCAAGGAGCGAGCGTGCGTTAAATACAACTCATTAGCCTCTACCAGGCTCCAGGGAAACGAAAACGAAAAGCCCCCAAAGAAAGAAGAGGCCAGATTTTTATTAACAAGGTCCATTGATACATTCCCTCCCACCCGGCCGGCAGGGGGATTGATTGAGTGCTTGTTTGCTTCGTTTCTAGAGAAGAGCCGACGACGTCGTACGAAAGCATGCAAAACGGTCTATGCGGGCAATATCTTGTGGGAGAAGTGGGCCCCAATATTCAGTTTGCCGGGGCAGCGGTAGTTGCGTACTTGATTTGGTGGGTATACTGTTGGTGACTCGAGGGAAACGACCTCTATTTGACTGACTGACTGACTGACACTTCGGATGCGGTGAAAGGGGTCGATACACAGCGAGCTGGATTGGCAGGGAGGTAACTAACTCCGTGCCAAGTACCTCGTATGAGTGCGAGTGTTAAACCCCGCCCCTGAGTTCTTGGTAGGTCTTCAGCCTTGTTCTCTCGCCACGTCCAGAGCACCGAGGAATATTACACAGAGTACACCCACTCCCCGGCTTCCATTTTCGCTCGAACTTTCAAACAGTGTAATGCTCTGAAATGCTAAGTGCTATACTACCCAGCTAATACAGCTGCGTATTATTATGAACGGCGACAGTCTTTCGTCTCTCACAATCTACTACTAATTGTAGGTAATATCAAGGAATATTGCGTCCTCGAGCAGTTTTTAAACACGCTCTCTGGCCTCCCTATAAGCGAGCAAGTATCCGTCATGACCCTTCTCTTTCCATCGCCGCTGGACCAATATTGATGCAAAGCCATATACCATATCTTCCCGACATCAGAAGTTTCCTCTCTGTTGGATAACTGCACTTGCAAAACCATCCTTCCTGGCGTTGATTTTCCTCAGAACCCTCGTTCGAAATCAGGTGTGGTTAGCTCCGGCTTCACGAATGGCCTTGTCAAACGATACGACCATCCCGGCTTCTCCTTTGCAGACATGTCCTTCTTGACCACCGTGGCTTCTTTCTTTTCCTTGTCCGCTTGCTTCGAGCTCTCATTCTCGTGTTGATCCACTTGCTCTCTTGATTCAGCACACTCTCCATCAACTATTCCGCGTTGGTCGGTGCTACCGCGGGAAAGTCGAGCAATGATGTTTCCGAGCTTTCTGCCCAGGGGCGAATTTATCAGTGAGGAGCTTCTCCTTGGAGCATTTGAAAGACCCGACGTGGATGAAGCTGCGCTGCTAGCTCGGCCAGACTCCCTGCCCTTCATATGCTCCGGTGTGGTGAGGCTTGTAAGGCTGATTGACTTCGCCGGTTCCTCATCCGGGCCAGGGCTGGAATTGACTTCAGAGATCTTGCTCAGCTGAGCAATAGACTGGATGCCTGCGTCCGCATGGTCAGGATCATGTCGAAGTTGAACCTGGTGAATCCATTTCTTCCGGAGAGAGATAGGAACATCATGAGCGTTAGTGTCCATGATGGAGCTGTGAACGGCCAGGCGGACACCGCGGCGAGAGAACCTTCGGGCTAGTGCATCCTGTTTCTTCGTTTTCCCATCCGCAATACGAGCTGGAAGAACGTCTCCCATTGCTGGAACATCGACACCTGTTGCCGAGGACAGGTTTCGGCCATGTGCACCTGGTTGGAAAGATGGCATGGTGTCGCTGGTTCCCGTTGACGAAGTCGAAGAAGAGTGGTCATGGGGCTTTTTGGCAAGACTTTGAAGGTCCTTGATGGCGTTCCTGCTGGCAAAGACAGTTTCGAGAATGGCAAGGTCTTCTTGCAAGGTGTGCGGTGAGGACTCGGCCAGGCGCCCGGGCGAACTGGAGAAGGTCAGTTCCGCAGCTGCTTCAAGCTGGATGAAACGAACTTGTGAGTGCCATACTCCTTGCCATGATGCAGGACTGTACGCATGACAATCAGAGTCGTCTTGTTAACTTCGAGGTGTTTCTGCAGCTTGCGAACGTATCTCTTCTTGGTCAACCAACCCACTGCACTGGTGTTCGGGCCATCAGCCTTTTGCATCTCTTTGCAGCAGTCGGCAATATCTTCGAAGATACCCCCGAGATGGGCACGAATCTCGCCTAGATCTTCGCCAAAGGCCTCAGTATATAGCTCCTTGTTGACTTTGACTGCGGAATCGAGACTGTTGAGCTCCCCCATAAGGAGTTTAAGTTCTTCGGTGGCGTTGGCGATATCCAACGAGGTGCTCTCGTGTCCACAGTGCAGGCGGAGCTTATTAAGACTGCTCGAGAGTGCTTCTGCTTGAATTGCAAGACTGCGTAAACCGGCCGTTTCTTCAGCGGAGGAGGATGCAGCGTTAGACTGGCCGAACGAAGAGTGGGCAGAAGTGTCAATGTGGCTGATGGTACCCCCCGTAACATCCATGCTGGCAATGCTCATGAAGGAGGAGACTGGAGGCAGGTGTCAGGAAGACGACGTGCCTGATCGAGGGCTCGTGTCGGCAATGAACGTGAACGAAGAGAAAGTCGTAATCCGAGGACCCTGCAGCATGAAGTTTAAAAGAGCAGGTGCGTGCAGACGCTGGCATCTGCGACTTGCTCTATGCCATTCATCCTCGAGGAACGAAGGTTCATGTTGGAAGCTCACGGGTATGGTCAAACAACAGCAAACAACAACTGTCATATGAAATGAAGCCTTCATCAGCTCCTGGTGGTGTCGCGACATCTCTTGTCGTGAATCATACACTCTCCCAGCTGGACCCTCCGCACTTGCACATCCCTTTTCGATCAAACAGGATGGGCCTCTTCTTGTAAACAGCGAGGGTTGCCTTATTGACGTCTTTCGATATCATCCTTCGTCAAATGCTCACATCCTCATTTGTCTTTCCCGCTCCACGCCCGGCGACGATTGTAAAGCCTGCATGGAATGCCGCTGCATGCATGTCGTTCCTGCTCGACGCGGAAGTAGTATTCCCAGCGACAGCCGCCACGTCCTCCCGTGCCATTGACTCATTTCTTTAACTCCGCAAATTCAGTGCGAAGCCGGTCTCTCTCCTGCCGAAGCTCTTGTTTGACTTTATGGTTGGCCGCTTTCGATTGTTCCAACGCCTGTTCTTTGTTAATGACCAATCTCTTCAAATCCTCAACTTCCTTCTGGAGTTTTTGGACGGAAGAGCCGTTTGTCTGAAGCTTCTTCTGTTTCTGGCCATTGTTCTCCTTCAATCGTAGTGTATGTGCTTTCTCTTTCAACAGGTCATCCTGTAAGGATCGCGTGAGCTTTTCGAGCTGTTGGACCATTGTTTGTGCAGCCTCTCTCCTGCCCTCGGCTAGCGACAGCGACTTCTCCAAAGTCTCCGTTTTCGTTTGATATGCCTTCTCGAGGCCGGCCGCTGCAGCCATCTGCTGCTTGGCGATAGTCTTCAGGTCCACAATCTGCTCCTTGCTCTTTTGCAACTCATGCCACTGCTCTGCAAGTTCTTTTTGCCACTGGCTACGGACGCAGGTCATCATCTCCCAGAGATTTGGGTTACGTTTCTCAAGCAAAGATGTCAGAATACTGTCTTTCTCCACAACAGGAAGGTGTGCCGCACAGAGACCGAAAAAAGATTTTGTAAAGGCTTCGTACGCTCTAAGAATGTAGCCTGCCCAGACATGGAAGTCCTCGGACAGTGGCAATCCTGCACGGAGTTCGTTCTCAAACCAAGCAACGATTTTTCGCATGGCGACCTTCTCCAAGGGATTGATCTCCAGCTGCTTCGCCACGAGGTATATATTTAGTTCGAGGAAGACTTCGTCCGAATTCTTGCATGGAAGCGTATCATAGGGATCCTTCATCAAGGCCTGCTTTGCCATCAAGATTGCCCATTTGTCGGGGTTGGCCATAGTGTCAACCGTCTTTGACGAACCGTCGTTGAGGTTGACAGTAGTCGGCTTTGCGTTGACAGTGAGAGTGACGAGGAACGCGTCAGTCGCGGGAAACTTTTCGTTGAGAGGAAGTTTGGCTGAAGCGGCGAGGGAGCTCTGGAAGGTCTCAGGAATGTCGCCAGTGTACATGAAAGTGAGGACTTTGCGTAAGACATCTGGAGAGATGGCATCCAGAGTATACGCCTCACCACCAAGGAACTGGTTTACTTGTTAGGACGGAGGAAAGGAGAGACCACTGGTGTGGATAGAAGTTACCGTTGACTTGCATGCTTCCTCCCCCAACACCGGGCAGTGCGCAGCGATGATGGCTTTGTGGACAAAGAAGAACTCTCCGCGACAGATTATGACCAGGTCGCAGCCCTCGGTGGTGGTGAGGTATCGTAGTAATGCGCCCATGGTTGACGCAGTCGATGGCGTGGAACCTGACGACGAATTTGGGACGATTTGGAGGCGAGATGAAGTGTTGGATGGAAGTTGAGATTGCGACGACGAATCCGAGAATTTGCAAATTGGCAACAAATGTTTCTTTCCACGCCCATCAGCAACTCCACCATCGTGTGCATCACGTACTGAGGTTGAGAGGTGGTCTGTAGTCCAGGCATTGGCGGCAATCTGCCAGGTAACGACATGTTTTCACAGACAAGCCCGTCCTGATGTGTTATCTTTTCATCGTCACCAGTTTCTTGAGATTTCTAGACACGGTCTGCGCCACCGTCCCCGGCTTTGTCCTTGTGCCTGAAGACCAACATCTTCCGTTTTGGCATGCCCACCAAGTCGTCTCAACGGGATACACTCGAAGGGGGGTAGAGTGTTTCTAGACTTCAAACTGGCTGCCGTGCACCGGTATGACACCAAACCATGACCAGCAGTCTGAATGTATCGCGCCGGTCCTACCAGCCACTGTAACCATCCGTCAGTCCCCAAACAAATCCTCCAAAGTCTGACACATCCTTTTCTGCAACTCCCTCAACTCTCCTTTGTCAATCTTCCCCTTGTTTGCACCAGCCTGTTTCTCAGGGCCATCTTCCAAAATGACCAATTCATGCTTAATGGCATAAAATGGCACACCCAAAGCTCGCAACTGCCTGTCAAAATCTGCCGTCATGGCCAACAAACCAGCATAGACTTTCTTATCATAAGCATCTAACTCTGCTTGGTCCGATTTCTTCTGTTCATCTGACAATGAAGCTGTTGGTGGGGGCGCGGGTGCCACTTCCTTCGCACCAAGGGATTTCAATATCGCCGAGACCTGCTGTGACGTCCCGGACCTTCCCTGCCGCCTCGCAATAATAGCTTCACGTCCTGCCCACCACTGCCGCTCATGCTTATGCTGTTCGTTGATCAAGTGCTTGATTCTGTTTGCCACTTGCTCGTTGTGGACGAGATGGCGCGAGACGTGTTTCAGCGCTGCTGGCCAGGTGGTGATGGCCGATGCGTCGGGGACATTGATACTAGGAGTGGCAGTCTTGCTGCGCAGATTCTCCGGGAGGCGTGGTGTTGAAATCCCACTTTGTGGTTGGGACGAGGTTGAAGTTAATTCTTGTTGGCTCTGGATGGCTGGTGGAGAGATGGTTTTCTCATGGAGAGTTGTTGGTAGCAAGCCCAGGCCAGGGATGGCAAAGTTTGGGGCGTGCGAGTTCGTGCCAAAAGACGCCTGGTTGTTGTAGGAGCCGGGTCCAAATGGAGATGGTTGCTGGTGCTGGTGCTGGTGTTGGTGTAGCTGGTGTTGTGAAAAGCTATTCAGTGCTGCTAGCACACGCTGGAGCTCAGGATTCCGCTGACCATCCATGTCGGCCTTAGGCCACGATAAAAAGGAATGTGACAAAGTCCCAATGAAGGAATACATGGAGGGTGGAAGGATCAAGGTCGAGGAGGCAGAATCAAGAAGCCAGATGTCTCGGCAAACGGCAGCCTCGCGTCTTGGCAAGGCTTCACCTCTTGATCAGCGCTATATGTTGTACGTGTCAAAGGGAAGTTATATGTCATTAATTATTACTTGAGCAAGCTTGGACCTGAATCATTTCACAAATACTCATTCATAAACAGGATCTGTTGTCTGAAATATGAACCTGTGTAGAGTATTTGGGGTTCAGCAAGCCGCCACTGGTGGTGCCCATGGGCTGTTGTCGTTGCAGGCAGCAACACCCCTTGAAAGCGGACGGGGAAGGCTAGCTATGCTACCATGATATGGTCTAAAGTAAGGTGTAGGGTGGCACACTCTCTGTGTACTGTTTGTGTGTTTGTCTCTGTATGAGGTATATGTGTGTGTGTGTGTGTGTGTTAACAGTTTGCAAGGAAAAGGGGAAAAGTGGATCGCTGAAATAATACCAATCGTGATTGGACGACCTCCGTAATCCAATCCCGTGTCAGCGTGTCGCCGTGTCGCCGTGTCGCCGTCATGCGATGCTCGCTTCTCTTTTCGAAGCTTCATTTTCCATTGTAATAATTCCATTCAATAGACATCAAAAGTAACTGCAGAGCGGGCATCGTCAAAACCACCTCTTGTCCACCACTTGCGGCTTCGGTGCCCTCGGGTTTAGTTTCCTCTGCTATTTCTTGTACAATACCAACCCATTCTGGACGAAAACTTTTGCATGCCAACTCTGTAACATCAGAGGATTCCTCCTCGCCCTTTTTTCTCTCCCTGAACCTGTGGAAGAAATAATGAAAGCATTCATCCCTAAAATGTCGCGACGGCCGGCATCCGACACCTTTACTCGCTTCACCTCTACAACACCCCATGCTACCACATTCACTTATCAACCCGCCTCTCGTCCCGCAGGGAGGAACACATCCTCTCCAGCTCCGTCCTCCTCCCCCTCACCTCCACAACCTCCTTCTTCCCACAAAGCACCCTCTTCGAACGAGACACCAATGGAAAGAGTTGCCCGTCTCCGTGCCGCGCACGAAGCTGCAAAAACATCCGCAATTTCCTCCCCTCTTGACCGCCTGATCTCGAGCGGTCGAGTCATTGCCGATCGTGCTCACCGCATTACCGCGTACGGCCTGATAATCTTCTCCGGCCTAGCGGTCTGCGTGACCGCATACGGCACAATCTCGCTCATCGCGCACTCGAGAAGACAAAAGCGGGCGTGGGTCGAGAGGGAATTGAACAGGCTGGATGAAGCTAGGAGGGCTTTCCTAAAGGGCGAAGCGAACGCGGAGCAGTTGCATTTGCTGGAGCAGGAGCGTGCCGGCCAGGAGATAGAGGCGGCGAGGATGAAGGAAGTAGAGAGGAAGAAGCAGGAAGGCTATTGGAGCAAGCTGAAGGGCTTTGTGGGTGGACAGATGGCAAAGGGGACAATGGGGGAGGAGACGGCTGAGGAGAAGAGTCGGAGGGAAGCCAGAGCCGCGTGGAAACAGGGGGGCATCAAGGCAGACGAGGAAGGCTGGATTGAAGGCGAAGTACGACCTGTTCCAACAGGGACTCCCGCGGTGGAAGCCGTTCGAGTTGCGCCGAGTGGTGTCCAGGGGATAGGCATCGATTCAAAGGGACGCCCTGTGCCCGCAAACAAGGTCGAGTATATCGCGAGAAAAGTGGAAGATGAGACCGGACGAGGCGAAAAGGACCTTGGCGCCAAACCGGCAACTGTGGGAGGGCCGCTGGATGTTATGGCCAGCAACGTGGTGGGCAGTGTTGCTGGAGCTTCAACAGAAGGAGGAAGAAGTTGGTTAAGTTGGATTAGGGGAGGCAACAGCAAGTCATAGATGCGCGGAAATGGGAGGGTGGTCTGTAAAGGAATTGATGCCTGATATGGCAGGCCGTCTCAGACATGTCATTTGTACAGCTATTGAAGACGGCGCGCCCCACGTGTGCAGAGGGAGCCGCGCAAAACTCTCGAATCAAAAACCTATCGTCTAAAACAGGCAATGCGCTGGTCTGTGTTGCTTGCAAGCTCATGCTGACTTTGCAAATACTCAGCCGCAACAAGTGAATCCTTGTAATCTAGCAACCCACCAAAAGCGTGATCGTCATGCATCTCGTTCAATCTTTGTTCTCATTGCTCGTCAAAATCATGCAGCCCATAGCAGCCCCAAACACCGATACGCTTCTGCATGCCCCGTCAAGTCCATATAATATGGCTGTAATGGCCCGGCACTTTCTGAATGCATTTCTCACAATCACTGAGATATCCCATATGAAGTCTCGCCGTCCTTGTTCGACCCGAAGGACTCGTGTTTCCATCCAATCCATATTTCCCGGCGGGAACATGCACTTGGGTGGCTGGTTCATCTCGATCCATCATCATTGCGGTGTCCATGTCTTGGTCCTCAACAGGGCTCGGCAGACCGTCTCGAGTGATCCACGACTCCTGCTCGATCATCGGACTAAGAGTCGTACGTAGCGGAGGAAACTGGTGGCGCGGGATGCTGGGCAGATCACCGACGCGGTTGTCAAAATGGCCGCTGATGGGTGTCGGGACTCTTTCCCGAGCAATGCTGTCCATGGCACTAAGAAAATTGGAGTCGCGTTCAGGAGGGATAATATCGTTGGATCGAGCGCGTCGTATCCTCGGCTGGGCGACCGGAGGAGCCATGGTTGGAGCCATGGTTAGATCCATATCGACATCAATGGGATCGCCAAATCGGGCCTTGCCTAACGACGTGCTATTGTCGTTGCCGAGCTGCGAGTCGTTCTTCGCAGCCGACCACTGATCTCCGGTCTCGTTCAATGGCTGACCGGAACTCTCATCGTCATCCGAGGTGTCGACCGGAGTCGGAGGTTGCTGATATATCGAAGTGAAGAGGGCGTAAGAAGCGGGAGGAACCGAGACATGTGGTCGCGAGGAGGGCGATAAGCGGATGGGTAAACAGTGCGTCGAAGTGGATCGTCGTTTGGCGTCGCGGGCAAAGAAGCGACTGTCGTCCTCCAGATGGTCAGACGGTCGTTTCCGTTTGAAGGGGGGAGTTGAGATGTTGAAATGGAAAGCACAGGTGTCGACGTCGGCCATAGCAGAGGGATCGGCGTTGGTCGGCTGCCTGGGACACAGACCAAGACTGGACATCGATTTTGACGGAGCGGACGTGGAATGAAGAGCGGCTGTGGTGTGATTAGAGGGGTGTTCTTATGTTTCCAGCGTCGAAATGCAAGTCATGGCCCCGTGTGCAAGGAGAGTCGATCAAACCGTGGCAGTGTCGGGGTGCTTGACGACTTTGCGTAGGTGAAACAAGGACAATTTGAGAGAGGACCAACCAGAGCGCGCGCCTGCGACCAAGGCGAATGGCCGGTCTCAGATCGAGGTGTTCGGCAAGTCAGCGTTCCGCACGAGTCAGATCTCTGGGGTGTTTGTATAAGGAGGCGGCTGAGTTGGTAAGAGGGAGATACTGGTACATATGTGGAGGGATGGGGTGAAAAGGGAGGAATTGTCGTTGATGAAAGGGGAGTCCGAGGTACCAAGTACTAGGCAGAGGGTAGATGTGCCGAGACTGGAGAGGAAGCCACGAACGAAGCCACGAACGAAGCCACGAACGAAGCCACGGGAGCCGCCCTGATACTACGTCATCGCCCTCGCCACCTTTGTGGCGCTTGGCACACTCGGCACTTAGAGGCTCACGTGCACGAGTACTAGTGGCAGCAGGCTAGTGACTTGGCGATGACACTAGCGCACCCCGGCGGAATCGCGGAGAAATAATTCTCCAGTACCGCGAGTCACACCGCTTTCTCAATCCCTTTGCGCTCTTTGGCTGGGCTGCCCCTCCTCCCTCCCTGCGCTTTCCGCCCGCCGCCCAAAATTTTCCTCAGCACGTCGCCCTTGTGAATCATGCTATTGACTGAGGTGACTGTGACTGCGGTTCCCGCTCAAAAAAGTAGCTATACCTTACCTTCCTTTCTTTTTCGTCTCTCCTCGTTCTTTCATACCCTTCCCTTCCCTCCCCTCGCCCTGTCATCTCTTGTCTTCTCTTCTCTTTCGCCACTGACCTTTCCGCTTGTTCTTCTCTCAAAATGCCCGCTGTCGACGCTGCTGCTCCCATGTCCGGCGAGGATGTTCGAGTCCTTGGTTATGACCCTCTGATCCCTCCCGCCCTCCTGCAAGCCGAGATACCTGCGTCTCAGACCTCCAGCGAGACTGTCGCCAAGGGTCGTCGAGAATGCAAAGATATCATCCACCAGCGGGACGACAGACTACTTGTCATGGTCGGACCCTGTTCGATCCACGATCCTGCAACAGCCCTTGAATATGCTGGTCGTCTGAAAGAGCTCTCCGAAAAGCTCTCCGCGGATCTATGCATCATCATGCGTGCATATCTAGAAAAGCCCCGCACCACCGTGGGCTGGAAAGGCCTCATCAACGACCCTGACATTGATGAATCCTACAAAATCAACAAAGGCCTCCGTGTCTCGAGACAGCTCTACGCCGACCTCACGTCAATGGGCATGCCCATTGCGAGCGAAATGCTCGACACTATATCCCCGCAGTTTCTTGCCGACTTAATCTCTCTAGGTGCCATCGGGGCCCGAACAACCGAGTCTCAGCTGCACAGAGAACTCGCTTCTGGTCTCTCCTTCCCTATGGGTTTCAAGAACGGTACAGATGGTTCCCTTTCCGTGGCTATCGACGCCGTAGGAGCTGCCGCCGCAAAACACTACTTCATGGGCGTCACAAAACAAGGGTTGGCTGCCATAACAAAAACATCCGGGAACGAAGATGGTTTCGTGATCCTCCGCGGCGGCTCAAAGGGCACGAACTACGACGCCGAATCCGTAAAGGCAGCTCGCTCCGCATTGAAATCCAAGGGCCAAAGAGAAGTTATGATGATCGACTGCTCCCACGGCAACTCGAAGAAGAA